ATAAAAAATCATGTGACACCCATTATATATTTTTTGACAGCACTGTTCTAGAATATTAAGGCCAGGTACGAGGAAGTACCAAAAACCGAGATACCCCAGCAACAGCCTGGGTTCCAGTCTCAGCCCACAGATCCTGGCCCACTTGATCTTTCCCTGACAGTTGAGGTGATGTGATGTAGATCTTTCCGATGCACTGTAGCTGCATGGGGATGGCAGAAGCATCACTGATCTTATTCCTTAGGCCCAGGACACCCTGATGCTGGCAGACAAGCCCTTCTTCTTGGTGCTGGAAGAAGACGGCACAGCTGTAGACACAGAAGAGTATTTCCAAGCCCTGGCAGATGACACACTGTTCATGGTCCTCCAGAAGGGGCAGAAATGGCGGCCCCCATCAAAGCAGGTGAGGTCTCACCTGTTGGGGGAGACCATTGGGAGCCTGGGAGGTGTCGCTGAGGAGTGCCAACCACATGATTGTCTTGATGCAGGGCACTAGGTACCAACTCTCCCTCTCCAGTAAGCCTGCCAAGAAGATTGATGTGGCCCGTGTAACCTTCAACCTGTACAAGATGAACCCACAGGACTTCATTGGTTCCCTGAACGTGAAGGCAACTCTCTATGGCACATACTCCCTTTCCTACGATCTACGCTGCTACAGCGCCAAGAGAATCATGAAGTGAGTGGATTGGGATTAGCTGAAGACAGGGTGGGTATGCAGCAGTGGGAGAGCCCCCATCTGCTTAGATGGACCTCAGCCTTCTAGGGCCTGGGACTGGTGTTCATGCAGACAAAGCATGACAGCGTTCGTCTAGAACTTTACGGTTGAACTAGTGCTTTAAATTGCACTAGTGTGTGCCAAAGGGATACATATACTCCTGGTGGAACCAAGATACATTTAGTTTTTTCTAATCACCTTCTACAACGACTAGTTTTTTTTTTTCACCTAAAATAGCAAATTTTCCTATGTAGTTTTTTAAACAACTTTTTAAAAGTGAACATGGATCAAATATTTTATGGAACTTGTTAATTAATGAGAGAACCAGCAAGAAGATACAATCAGTTCAAAGTGGAATTCAAAATTCCACCCGTATCTAGGTCTATCGAGAATGCTGAGATAAATTTATAGATACAAAACTGAATTTTTCCATGGGGGTGGGAGGGATGAAATAACTGTTCTTCTGCAGAACAGAATCAATTTGAATACCTATGGACAATAGTCATTTGTATTGTCTAATGAACTCTTTTTTAACTTTTTACTTTTGAAAGTCTAATCAGGTAACAGAAGGCATGAAAATATGTTGAATCATAAGGCAAGTACTGTTAAGGTAGTGTTTCCCAAATTCAGCTGCTCTGGTGGTGCTCTAGAAAAATCTTACCTCAGTAGGTAGATGTAACTACTGAGGCAGAGGCATCAAACCAGTCCAAACCTACAAAGCTAGAGTGTTGCAGGGCACGGCCTCTTGCCAGTTTCTTCAGACAGATTCTACTCCTTGTTAATTATTATTTACTGAGCACCCATTACATGTGCCTGGCCCAATGTCATAAACTAAGGATCGAAGATAAACAAGATGTTAGACTAAGTTTCATGAGGGCAGGAATTTCTGTTGCCGAATGAAGACACATGTGATCCTTGTTCTTAAGGAGTTTTTGAGAAATCCTGCTCAGGGTCCAGGTCCCCACCGTTCTGCCAGAACATATGTAGCAAGAGCATATCAAACCTTCTTGGCCTTCTGAGTTTATTCTCTGCATACCCAGTCTACAGATGGCAGACGTGAGGTTGTGTGGTTCTCCTTGCCAGAGATGACACTCAGTGGTAGGTCTGAGCCTGGTTCTCTGAACCTGAGAAGGTGATCTAGAAGTTCCCTTTCCTCCTCTACCATATCGTGTCCCTTCTTGATCTGGGCTTGCTGCCAGTAGTTTTCAGATTTCAAAATCTAGAGGAAGAAATTACAGCCTTGGAACTCAGTCCATTTAGGTGAAGTGGTACTCTCAGACCTAAACACAGTAGATATGTTGGAATAAAAAAACAACAGCAAGCTGGAGTCAATACAGCGACTTAGTGGTGTCAGCTAGGTTGGTTCGGTTTGGGGTTGTTTTGTTATGTACTTATACATAACATAAATTCACCAATCATTTTCAAGTGTGCAATTCAGCAACATTAAGCACATTCACAATGTTGTGCAACTGTCACCACTACCCATTCCCAGAACGTTTTCATCACCCCAAAATGAAACTCTGTCCCCAATGAAACTCTCTACTCCCCTTTCCCCAGCCCCTGGTAACCTCTATCCTACTTGCTGTCTTTGTTAATTTGCCTGTTCTAGGCATGGCATACAAGTGAATCATGCACTTTCCTTTTTGTGTCTGGCTTGTTTCACTTAATATAATGCTTTTAAGGTTCATCCTTATTGTAGCATGTATCAAAATTTCATTCCTATTTATGGCTGGACCTATTCATGGTTTTAAGCCTCAGCTCTCTACTTCGATAAATGGGTATACTTCTCAGGTACAGCCTTTAAAATTGTACAATATTTTCACATTAGATATTTATGGTTCTAGTTGTCTTTCTGCCCCTCTATACCTCGACCATAGCTCATTTATTGAATGAAGGTTAACAAAGGACTAACATTTTCATATCAGTCAGAAAATATTTTTTTCCTTTTATTTTTCTCTCCCTTATCTCTAGACAAGCCACCTCTACTGACCCTCACCTGTCTCTTTTAAACAGATTTGAATAAGAACTTGGTTAAAGTAGTCAAACATTCAGCCAGCTACTCTTGACTCCCCATCAAGTGATTTTTGTTATTTTAGTCTCATAATCCTGTGTGGATCAAAATGGTATGATACCATTTACCAGATGAGAAAACAAGCTGAGAACTAAAGCAGTTTGCCAAAGTTCACATACCTAATAAGACTGTAGAACTAAGGCCTGTCTGATTGAAGTTCTGTTCTCAGATCACTGCAGTACCAGGCACAGGACCGTCACATCTAGCCCAGTGAAAATTAGCTAGCCCACAGATGACTTGGAAGGGTGTCAGAGTCTAGAACAGAGGTCATGAAAGGCAGAGCCCTGCTATGGAGATTCATCTGGCTGGTCTAAAGTAGTATTACAAAAATAAAAAACCTTATTAAATCAGCTTGAATTTTGCATAAGAAAATAGGGAGGTTATGGACATCTCAACTGAGGTGTGATTGCAGGTAATGCCTATGGTCTCTTTCCCATTTGCTGAGGGGAGGGAGCATCTGTTCCAGTTTGCATATCATTCTACAATTTACAAAATGATGAAAATGGGGGAGGAGACATTTAGGGAATGCAGGAAGGGGTTTTCTTTGTGTTTTGACTCTAGTGCCTTCTTTTTCCCCCAGGAAAGCTCTTAGCTGGACCCTCTTCAGCATGCAGACCACTGGCCATGTGCTGCTCGGCACCTCCTGTTACATGCAGCAGCTCCTGGATGCCACAGAGGAAGGGCAGCCCCCCAAGGATAAGGCCTCATCCCTCATCCCAACTTGTCTTAAGATACTGCAATGAAGGCCCAAGTCCTTGGAGGCCTTCCCCAGACAAGAACTAGACTGGAGACCCCATGCTTAGCTAGTAACACCCATAAGCTAGCAGCTAAAGAGCTTATTATCTCCCCACACCTCCCTCACCTGCACAGAACCATGAATGAAGTTGGGGGAAGTACAGGAAACCTGGGATGACCAAAGAAGAACTGAGGATTCTTAGCCTGGCCCAGCTCCTTCCTGCCCAAGGTAGCTTAGCTGACCAACGCTGGTCAGTAGCAGGCTAGACACGAAGTCTGTGCCTCAGCTACCCAACTTCACATGCTGTACACTCCCTACCTCCTAGCCACTCCTCCCCATCCCTAATACTCCTGAGTGAACTGTCAAGTCTACACTACAGTGCATAATATTAGAGAGTTTGCAATAGATTATGCTGACACCTCTTTTTTGCCTGTACTCTTTGGGGGGTGAGGGTGGGATTTTATTTAGAAGGTTGTAAAAGTCTAAGGGAAGAGAAGAATCTATTGTCAAACCATTCTTCAAAATATGGGGTAATAGGAAACAGTTCTTTAAAAAAAAAAATTTGCATTTGATTTTGGAACTGATGTCTGCTTAACCAGGGACTTGAGCAAACTATGAAATCAATATTATAAATTACAATTTCCAAACTAAATTTGCTTATCAGAAAGGTTTGATTGGCAGGGTAGGATTAAAGCACTCATAATTTCAAAGTGCTGCATTTGATAACAACTTTCAAGTGTTTAGTTGGGAAAATACTAATTCAACTGTAACAATTCTCCATCAATGCCTCCCCTAGCTTACCAAAAAGCTTATCTTTCTATGTTCAGAACTTTCAAGCTCAGGATTTCCAAATGAGCTGTTAGGTCACCACCAAAAAGAATATTAGTTTCTCATCACTGAGCTGGTATTTTTCAGTAAAGGACAACTCAAACAAGACAAGTAAGAAAGACTAGGTTTGTAGGTGACTGTGCTTTAGTCTATGGCTCTCAGATTTTAAAACGTGTCATTTATGACCCATACCATAAAACCTATTTGGGTTTATTAAATACATAGACAAAAGCCTATGTTACTAAAGCTACAGTCTGAGGAGTAATTTTTGGCAGCTGAACCATACCCTACAGCCATGTGTGGGAGGAGCTGCCAGAGCTAGCAGGAAAACTTTCTATTCTGGGCTTTCCTGCTCTTGCAGTTTTGGCTTGAGGTCTGGCTCAGTGCCCTCCTGGCTCCATGGGGTGGACCTTCTGGCAGGGAAGCACAGTGTTTACGTCCGCACAGAAGCTATTCTTGACCAACCCTTGCTTTAGGCTGCAACCTACCTGCTTGTCTTGAGAAGTTAGTCCAAACTGAGTCAGACTAGGGTGGCAGAAGTTTGGAATTTGTCCCGATTCCCTTCTTCCTGAGATTCAGCCTTTCACACGTGAGTTTTGAGTGACTGATACTGTCTCTTTGCACCAAGCGCTCTCAGTCCAGGAAAAATTAGGTTCTTCCATTTCTTCCAGGAGCTTGGAGGCTAATGGAGTTGTACCAACTGTGTGGGCGGTGAACAGAAGAAACTTGGATGAGGCCGGGGCTTGTGGAAGGAAAATTCCAAAGAGCAGGGCTGCTCAGGAGGGCCAAGGGCCAGTCCAAGTCTGGGAATAGCCCCCATCTGGGGCCAAGCGCCGCTAGCTGTGAAGAGGTCTGCTGCAGTTAAGGCAGGTTGTGCCGCAGCCCCTCGGCCTTAGTTTTTCCCCTCAAGCCAGTACTTACGCATGCACAGGAGACCTTTCAGAAGAGGGATTCTCAAATACCAACGCGTCTTATGACAACGCACACAAATAGCTGAGCCCATAACAAGATAAAATCACTTGCATTCTTGCCAGATCTGTCTATGCACATCTATTAAAAATTTATTTAAATCTTTCAATTAAAGTTTCTTCAGGTTTAATTGACATACAATAAAACATATCCTTTTAAGGTATATAGGTCATTAAGCTTTGGAAAATGTATACAGTTATGTAACCATTATTGACAGCACGCCAAAACACTTCCTATGCTTCTTTCTTGTCAAGCTTCAGTCTTGACGCCTCAGTTTCCACGAGTGGCGACGCGAACTTCGGCAATTCCTTCCAGGGCAAAGGCAAAGCCCCACCTCCCTACGGCTCTGAGCCCCGCCTGCTCGTTATTCCGATTGACAGTCAATCTTACCAATCAGCGCGCTGTGCGAGCGGGGCTGCCCTTTTGGACACATGCGCACTTCTCGCATGAGAGATGAGGGGCTGCAGGGTTTGGTGCCGGTTGTGGGGTGGTTGTGGGCAGACGCCAGGGGTCCACGCAGCGGCAAAGGGCTTTGGCACTGAGGCCCGGTAATTACACTCCTCATCTTCGTGTTGGAGGGAGGGAGGGAGGGTGAGGCCGGGGAAGGTGCGTGCGCGCTGTGGAGTTAGGTGGATACGGATTCTAATCCCACCTCTGCTGCGTGACCCAAAACTAGTCACTTGGTCTGTCTGGTCCTCAGTTCCTTCTCCCAAAATGAGGCTAGGCATACCTGAATTTTCAGGAAGTTCAGCCAGTCTGTCTGAGACATTTGTAGGAGGCAGCAGAATTTGGGAATAGGTGTCTGAGGATAAGATGAGCGGCACCTCAGGAAACGAATGATTCCTCTCTTGCTTACTCCACCTTTTCCAGGCATCATCAGCAACCTCGAGGTTCCAGCAGACAGTCGGGGCCCCTGAGGGACCAGCCCTTCCCAGGGCTGCTGCAGCCAGAGAACCTCAGCCGTGAGGAGTTGGTTGATGTGCTGAGGGCAGCCGTACTGGATCAGAAAGGTTGAGGAGTGGGAGGGACAACTGCAGATACTTAGAAGGGGAGCCTGCTGTTCCTAACCTTCTGGGGAGCCGACTGGGCTCCCTCCTAAAGCCTTTGGGGTCAAATCCTGGTTCTGCAACCCACTAGAGTCATGAGCTGAAACCAGCCCCTGCATAGTAATCTCTTAGATCCTCAGCATCATGGCGATGGTGGTGTGGATGGGAGAGTGTAAATAACTAGAGTCCTGAGCATACTAGGCATTACATAATGGGTATTGCTATAATACATTGTTTAACTGATGGACAAAACACAGGCTTTAGAGTCAGCCAGATAGATCTAGACTCTGTATAAAATTTGCATTTGATTTTGGAACTGATGTCTGCTTAACCAGGGACTTGAGCAAACTATGAAATCAATATTATAAATTACAATTTCCAAACTAAATTTGCTTATCAGAAAGGTTTGATTGGCAGGGTAGGATTAAAGCACTCATAATTTCAAAGTGCTGCATTTGATAACAACTTTCAAGTGTTTAGTTGGGAAAATACTAATTCAACTGTAACAATTCTCCATCAATGCCTCCCCTAGCTTACCAAAAAGCTTATCTTTCTATGTTCAGAACTTTCAAGCTCAGGATTTCCAAATGAGCTGTTAGGTCACCACCAAAAAGAATATTAGTTTCTCATCACTGAGCTGGTATTTTTCAGTAAAGGACAACTCAAACAAGACAAGTAAGAAAGACTAGGTTTGTAGGTGACTGTGCTTTAGTCTATGGCTCTCAGATTTTAAAACGTGTCATTTATGACCCATACCATAAAACCTATTTGGGTTTATTAAATACATAGACAAAAGCCTATGTTACTAAAGCTACAGTCTGAGGAGTAATTTTTGGCAGCTGAACCATACCCTACAGCCATGTGTGGGAGGAGCTGCCAGAGCTAGCAGGAAAACTTTCTATTCTGGGCTTTCCTGCTCTTGCAGTTTTGGCTTGAGGTCTGGCTCAGTGCCCTCCTGGCTCCATGGGGTGGACCTTCTGGCAGGGAAGCACAGTGTTTACGTCCGCACAGAAGCTATTCTTGACCAACCCTTGCTTTAGGCTGCAACCTACCTGCTTGTCTTGAGAAGTTAGTCCAAACTGAGTCAGACTAGGGTGGCAGAAGTTTGGAATTTGTCCCGATTCCCTTCTTCCTGAGATTCAGCCTTTCACACGTGAGTTTTGAGTGACTGATACTGTCTCTTTGCACCAAGCGCTCTCAGTCCAGGAAAAATTAGGTTCTTCCATTTCTTCCAGGAGCTTGGAGGCTAATGGAGTTGTACCAACTGTGTGGGCGGTGAACAGAAGAAACTTGGATGAGGCCGGGGCTTGTGGAAGGAAAATTCCAAAGAGCAGGGCTGCTCAGGAGGGCCAAGGGCCAGTCCAAGTCTGGGAATAGCCCCCATCTGGGGCCAAGCGCCGCTAGCTGTGAAGAGGTCTGCTGCAGTTAAGGCAGGTTGTGCCGCAGCCCCTCGGCCTTAGTTTTTCCCCTCAAGCCAGTACTTACGCATGCACAGGAGACCTTTCAGAAGAGGGATTCTCAAATACCAACGCGTCTTATGACAACGCACACAAATAGCTGAGCCCAAAACAAGATAAAATCACTTGCATTCTTGCCAGATCTGTCTATGCACATCTATTAAAAATTTATTTAAATCTTTCAATTAAAGTTTCTTCAGGTTTAATTGACATACAATAAAACATATCCTTTTAAGGTATATAGGTCATTAAGCTTTGGAAAATGTATACAGTTATGTAACCATTATTGACAGGAGGCCAAAACACTTCCTATGCTTCTTTCTTGTCAAGCTTCAGTCTTGATGCCTCAGTTTCCACGAGTGGCGACGCGAACTTCGGCAATTCCTTCCAGGGCAAAGGCAAAGCCCCACCTCCCTACGGCTCTGAGCCCCGCCTGCTCGTTATTCCGATTGACAGTCAATCTTACCAATCAGCGCGCTGTGCGAGCGGGGCTGCCCTTTTGGACACATGCGCACTTCTCGCATGAGAGATGAGGGGCTGCAGGGTTTGGTGCCGGTTGTGGGGTGGTTGTGGGCAGACGCCAGGGGTCCACGCAGCGGCAAAGGGCTTTGGCACTGAGGCCCGGTAATTACACTCCTCATCTTCGTGTTGGAGGGAGGGAGGGAGGGTGAGGCCGGGGAAGGTGCGTGCGCGCTGTGGAGTTAGGTGGATACGGATTCTAATCCCACCTCTGCTGCGTGACCCAAAACTAGTCACTTGGTCTGTCTGGTCCTCAGTTCCTTCTCCCAAAATGAGGCTAGGCATACCTGAATTTTCAGGAAGTTCAGCCAGTCTGTCTGAGACATTTGTAGGAGGCAGCAGAATTTGGGAATAGGTGTCTGAGGATAAGATGAGCGGCACCTCAGGAAACGAATGATTCCTCTCTTGCTTACTCCACCTTTTCCAGGCATCATCAGCAACCTCGAGGTTCCAGCAGACAGTCGGGGCCCCTGAGGGACCAGCCCTTCCCAGGGCTGCTGCAGCCAGAGAACCTCAGCCGTGAGGAGTTGGTTGATGTGCTGAGGGCAGCCGTACTGGATCAGAAAGGTTGAGGAGTGGGAGGGACAACTGCAGATACTTAGAAGGGGAGCCTGCTGTTCCTAACCTTCTGGGGAGCGGACTGGGCTCCCTCCTAAAGCCTTTGGGGTCAAATCCTGGTTCTGCAACCCACTAGAGTCATGAGCTGAAACCAGCCCCTGCATAGTAATCTCTTAGATCCTCAGCATCATGGCGATGGTGGTGTGGATGGGAGAGTGTAAATAACTAGAGTCCTGAGCATACTAGGCATTACATAATGGGTATTGCTATAATACATTGTTTAACTGATGGACAAAACACAGGCTTTAGAGTCAGCCAGATAGATCTAGACTCTGTAATCAGTTTGCTGTGTGGCTTAAGGCTACAATTTCTCTGAGCCTTGGTCTCCAGTGATTTATTGATTTTTCTCAACTATTTATTAAACATAGACTATGTCCAGGTACTGTTCTAGGCATGACTACACCATGCTGAACAAGATAAATATGGTTTATTTTTTTAATAATAATAAACCTCTCAGGGAGCCAACATTTTGGTGGGAAAAATGGATTACCCAGGAAATAAACAAACAAGGCCCTTACTAGTGATCAGTGCTATGAATAAAACAGGGTGTTATGATGTAAGGAATTACAAAAGGGGGCAGCCATTAGATTGGAGTTTCAGGCCTCTCTATGGTGGTGACATTTGCACCAAGATGATATGAAGCAACCAGATACAAAAATCTGGGTCAGAGAGAGCAAGTGCAAAGTCCCTGAGGTGGCAGCGAGCTTAACATATGAGAAACAGAATGATGTTCAGTTTAGGGTGTGATTGATCATTCACATCTGAGATTGTAGTGGGGCCACATAAGATGAACTGAGAAAGTGCCTTGTAAACTCTAATTGCTGCTTTTTACTGTGGATGATGTTCATGTAATATATGTTTCAGGACCTCTAGTGACGTTGAACAAGCCACAAGGTCTGCCAGTGACAGGTATGGATGGGGAAGGGATGTAGTGAAAGAGGGTTTGATGTCCTAAGGGAGGGAATATAGAAGAGAAGGGGGTGTTGGGATGAAGCCAGAGGTCTCTGGGAGCAGCCTGTACTTCTTCTATTTTTCCAGGAAAACCAGGGGAGCTGACATTGCTCTCTGTGCTGCCAGAGCTGAGCCAGTCCCTGGGGCTCGGAGAGCAGGAGCTCCAGGTTGTCCGAGCACCTGGAAAGTAAGTGGTGGGGATGACAGGAAGGTAGGAAGGCAGGCATCCATCTGGGATAGGAGAACAACTGCTGGGGAATAAACAGACATATTCCATAGGCTGGTTTGGGATCACAGAGGTGTAGAATACAAGGAAAAGGAGGGAGTGGACAGATCTGGATTAAAAAATCATGCACAAGCTGTGTGATCTTAGTTAAAGCATGAAACCTCATTGAGCTCAGTTTCCTTAATCATACAATAGAGCTAATAACACCTTTGCTCAGTATATATACTGATGGCAGGTGTTGGGATATTCTGATACCCTGATACTCTTTCCTCTAACTGCCATCAATTAGAGACAGTACTTGAGATGAAATATTTCTGCAGTTTGACAAACTCATGGGCTTGTTTGTGAGGGATTTAATTATTTAAGAGCTCATATATATAAAATTCCTAGTATAGTGCCTGGCACATGGCAGACACTCAGAAAATGGCGATAATTTTTATGTCTGGCTCTGAGCTCCCTGGGGGCCAGGGCAAAATGAAAAACACATTAAGCTAGGTTGTCTTACTATCAAACATGAGGAAGCCTTACTTGTTTCTCAGGAAGAGGTCTGGGTTATACTGTTGGTATTACTGTTTGACTTTAAGCAGGTCAATGTTTCTTTCTAGGGGCCTCCTTTTTTTGGTGGGTGAGCTCAAGGGACTTTGACTTTTATGATTTGTCCCCTTCCTCCAGGGAGACCTCTGGGCTTGTACTCCTCTCCAGTTGTCCCCAGACAGCAAGCCGCCTCCAAAAGTTCTTCAGCCACTCCCGGAGAACCCAGAGACCCACAGCTACCTACTGGTGAGGTGCAGGGGAAGCTCCTAGGGCAGTGGAGAGGTTCCAGCAAGCCACTCTGTGACCTCTTCCTGCCTTTCTTAGCGCTGTCACTGATGGGATCCCAGCTACTACTGAGGGGAAGATCCAAGCAGCTCTGAAACTAGAACACACTGATGGTGTCAATCTTGTGAGTTAGGGTCTGGGTGGGGAACAGGAGAGGACCCTGCAGACATATTACTCTACAGAAGAGTCAAGGGTATAAGTTTGGGGTGGCTGGCCCTCTTGTTCCCTAAAACAGGCAAGTCACCATTGCCTCTACTATGGCCCTGTCCTGAGTCCATGGGAACAGGAAGGGTCTGGGTATAGCTCCCAGGGTGTGGGTATATGTGAAGCTTGTTCCTTCTTGGGGGCTGACACTACAGGCAGTTCCAGTGAAGCCCCCATCCCGGAAAGACATCCTGGAAGGTGTTAAGAGGACCCTCAGCCACTTCCGTGTGATGGCCACAGGCTCTGGCTGTGCCCTGGTCCAGCTGCAGCCACTTACAGGTGGGTCTGGAGCCCCAGCCAGCCTTGACGGGGGGAGGCAAGAGGGTAGGAAGAAGGTGGTGGTGGTAGCTGCAGCCTGGGGAACATCTGCTGGACCCTGAGGGTGTATGTGATATGTGACCAGGCCCAGTGGGGGGAGGCAGTTCTGCTGCTGTCAGTCTGGTGTCATTCCTTTGTAGCTCATCTGGTTTTTTTCTTTGGAGTTACTGATTTCGGGATCTTCTCTTTGCTTTTGATATTCTGTAGTTTCACTATGATGAATCTAGGTGTGTACATTTAGTTTTATTTATCTTGCTTGGGATTGACTGTGCTTCCTGAATCTGAAGATTAATGTATTTCATTACTCCTGGAATTTCTTTGACTCTTCAAATGCATTCTCTCTGCTCTCTTCTTTTTGAATGCCTAATAGACATCTAACCTCATTTTATTATCTGTGTCTGTTTTTTTTGTTTCATTTCTTTATGTCTGCTGCATTCTGTGTAATTTCTTTAGATCTGTCTCCCAGGTGGATTTTTTAAATTCAGTTGGGGCTAATCTGCCAGTTTAACCTTATCCATAGACTATTTTTCACTTCTAGAAGTTCTGTTTGGTTCTTTTACAAATACAAATTGCCTTTAAAATACTTTCCCCTGCCCCGCCTTACATTATTTGTTCTTGTCTTTAATCATTTTAAACATATTATATTTCTATAAATCCATTGTCTGAAATTCTTGAGGGGCCTAATCTTAGTGAATTTCCTGCTGACTCTCACACTTGGTGGATTGTTTCCTCTTGTGAATTCAGGTTTAGTTGGGCCTTTATCTGTGGAAATCCTTTGTTGTCTCATTGAAGGTGGGACCCTCAGGAGAGGTCCTGCTTGCTTCTGCTGAATACCCCAGGGCTATCTCTGCTCCAGGACCTCTCTAGATATTATGTCTCAGTTGAAAGTTCACAGATCACTCAAGTAGTAAAATTTGAGCCCTAAACCTGTTTGATAGCAGACTCATGGTTGTGAATTCTTAGGGGAAAACTTTTTCATTCCACTCATCCAGATCTAATCTGCCTTCATTGGTGGCTGGCTTCTCCTGGGCCACCCTTTCACTGAAAATGAAACCTTGAGGGTTTCATTTTGGCTCCAAGGTCTCATTTCTGGCACCTAGGTAGCTACTTAAATGGATACCAAGATTGGCAACACTCCTAGAAGAGATGAAATGTTGGCTCTCATGTGCTTTAGATTTATTTTCCTTTTATATTTTGGTTACAGGCACCTTTCCTCTTTGCCCAGCTGTGTATTTAAAAAGGATTTTTGCAGTGTTTCTAGGTGGTTTATAGCAAGAGGGTTTTTAGATTATCCAGTCCACTGTATTGCCAGACAAGGAAGCAGAGTACAGCTCCCGGGTACGAGTCCTGGCTTACCACGAATCACTTCTTTTAAAAGCTTTGGTATTTCTGTGTTTAAGATGGGAGTGATGATAGGACCTGCCTTATAGGGCTGTCAGGATGAAGTAAGCTCACATATGCAAAGCACTTCATACCATACCTAGCATGTGGTCCTCCATTTCTCTTATTTGTCCAGGTACTTTTGTTTGTAAGTTTCCCAAAAAGCAGTTCAACTTGGTTTAAGCCAAAAAAGGGGATTTACTGGCTCATGTAACTGAAAGTGCAGGTCTGGCTGTATCCAGAGGCTGACGATGTTATCAGGAAGCTATTTCCCATTTCTTGCTTCTTGCCTCTTGCATGTTGGCTGCTCTCTCCCACAGGCTCTCCTTTCTCTCCAGGAGCTCCAGGTTTGCACCCCGCCAGTTTAACACCCCAGCAGGAAAGAGTGTTCCTTATCCCAGTTGCTTCAACAATAAATTCAGGGTTGCATCTCTTCATGAGTGAATCTCGCAGGCCTGGTGGATTGACAGCTGACTGTCCTGAGCTAGTTGTGCACCTGGCTCTGGAGGCAGGGGTGGTAGCATAGACCTCACTATAACTACATGATCTGAGAATGAGGGGTGGTGTTTCCCGGGGGGAGGAGAGAGGGACAGTACTAGGTGGGACAGGAAGAGCCAGCAGTCCCCCCTCCATCTGTCCCATCTCTTCTGTCTCCCAGTCTTCCCCAGTCAGCTACAGGTACATATGGTTCTACAGCTCTGCCCTGTGCTTGGGGATCACACATACTCTGCTCGTGTGGGCACTGTCCTGGGCCAGCGCTTCCTATTGCCAGCTGAGAGCACCAAGCCCCGAAAACAGGTACCAAAGCCTGCCTGTCTGATGCCTTCTGGGAGTAGGTGGGGGGGTGACGGTGGGCAGCATCTCCAGACATTGATTATGCAGATTAGGGACTGGGAGGCAGCCCTCTTGGTTTCCAAGGCTATCTGTAGCCCTATTTTGCTGTGTGACCTTGAGCAAGTGACACCCCCTCTTGTGCCTTTCTCCCAATCTGTCCAATAAGGGAGTTGAACTGGCTGATTTTAAAGGCCCTTCAAAGTCTGCCATTCTTTGAGTCTGTTTGGTGTAAAGTAAAAGAGTTGTATGTGTGCATTAACTCCCGAAGTACCAGAGTCTTAATAATTTCCCTCCATGTAAAGTCTGTGGGAGTGGGGTAGGGTGAGCTTTGCTTCAAGCAGTCATTCAGGGATCTGGGCTGTTGCTACCCAGTTAGCAGCTAAAGGGAGACAGTGCAGTGCAGGTCCACGTGGGTTTTTATGGGCCAGGTTTGCAAGTGGCATACATACTTGCACTCCTATCCCATTGGCTAGAACTCAATCACATGGCCTCACCAAACTGCAGAGGGGCTGGGAGATGTAGTTTAGCTGTGTGCTCAGGCAGAAAATGATTTGGTGAGCCCCTAGCCAGAATCTGCCGTAGCATGAGTGTGCATGTGAGCATGTCTATGTGGAGAGAGGAAATGATCATGGTCGTGGAGGAAGTATACTTGCCTGGCACCCATTTTGGTTAAAGCTGGTTGTGACTCAGTTGGCTAAATGCTGGTTTGCCTCTCCCACCCCAGGTTCTGGATGAAGCTCTCCTTAGACATCTCCACCTGACACCCTCCCAGGCTGCCCAGCTGCCCTTGCATCTCCACCTGCATTGTCTACACCTCCCAGGTGCCAGGCCCATGGCTGCCCCCATTGAATTTCTGGCCCCCCTGCCCTCTTATTTCTCCAGGACCCTGCAGTGCCTGGGGCTCCACCAACCATAGTCCTGTTCCGTGTTTCCAGTGGAATGCTGTGCATTGGGCAAATGACTTTACCTCTCTGGACTTAGATAATAAAAGTACCTACCTCATCATATGGTTTTAAGGATTTGCTGAGAAAGTATTTATCATGTCAAGATGCTTTGTGCTGACTTTAATATATGGTCTTTTGTGGAGGCTGTTTCTGTCCCAGTTCTAGCTGCAGAGGACATGTCAGATTTTTTTGTTGTGGTGGTAAAAACACCTACTAAAATATACCATCTTAACCATTTTTAAGTGAATGGTTCTGTGGTATTAAGTACATACACATGGTTGGACAATCATCCCCACCACCATCTGCAGAACTGCATCTTCCAGAACTGAAACTGTCCCCATTAAATACCACCTCCCCATTGTACTCGTCTCTATTAATTTGACTGTTCCAGGGACCTCATATATGTGAATATTAGATCTTTCACTTTAAAAAATTGTGAAATAATGTCAAACATACAAAGAGTGCATAAAACATCTGTGATTTAAATAATTACAAGGTGATACCCATATAACCACTAGTCAGGGCAGGAAATAGAAACATCTCTCTCTTGCTTATAGAGCAGCAGTTCTCAACCCTGGCCCCCATGTTAGAACTCCCTACCCCACCCCCTCAGGAAGCTTAAAAAAAAAAAAACCCTTGATTCTGCCCCCCACAAAACACTGGCTTAATCGGTCTGGAGTGGAGATCTTGGCATCAGCCTTTTTTTTTTAAAGCTCCCAAAGCAATTCTATTGTTCTGTCTAGTTTAGAAACCACTGTTCTGACTTGGAAGGATTCTTTGTTATGTCGAGTTCATATATATATATGTATCCCTAAACAATGTTTCATTTTGCCTACTTTTAAAGGTTTCCATAAGTAGAATTATGGTGTATATATTCTTGTGATTTGCTCTTGCTCCATACTGTGAAATGCATCTGTGATGTACTGCGTGGAGTTTGAATTTCAGTGAAGAAAACAGTTTATCATTTCTGCTGTCAGTGGACAGTTAGCTGGGCTGTGACCACAGTGCTGCTGTGAACTTGTGTGTCTGTATTTCCTGGCTCAGTTATTCAAGAATTTCTGGTCAGAGTATATTTATCTTCATTTGACTAGTGTTATTAGTTTCCTAGAGCTGCTGTAATCAATTACCACAACAGAGTAGTTTAAAACCACAGAAACCGATTCTATTATAGTTCCAGAGAGCAGATGTGTGAAACCAAGGTGTGAGAGCTCTAGGGGAGAATCCTGCCCTGCCTCTTCCAGTTTCTCTCATGGCTCCAGACATCCCTTGACATGTGGATAAACCACACCAGTCTCTGCCTCCATCTTCACATGGTCTTCTCATGTGTCTTCCCTTCTGACTTTTACAAGGGACATTTGTCATTGGATTTAGAGCCTAGCTAGATGATCTTGGTGATCTCAGGATCTTGAACTAGTAACATCTAGGATGACCCTTTTTCCAAATAAAGTCATATCTACAGGTTCCAAAGAGACATCTTTTGGTGGTGGTGGTAGGTGGGGGGCTACCATTCAATTTATTACAATCCATACCAAACTTGCAAATGGCTGTGGCTTGTTAGATATTCTTTCTAGGTGACCTTGGCCCCTTGCTGAAGAAGGGACAGACTCCCTCCCTCCGGAGTAGGGGTGGGGTTAGGCAAGGTCCACCTTCCCCTTGTGTCTCATATTATAAATGCAGTGCCCACTAGATGTCATCCTGCTGCCAGCTCAGCTCTTCCTCTGGGCTTGGGGACTGGGAGGGACTCTCAGTGGTCAGCAGTGCTGGTTGTGTCCCAGGTTCCTCCTCACTGCCACGTGATCTTGGGCAAGCCACTTCTTGTTCAGACTTTCCTCATCTATAAAGTGAGGATTATACCCCAACCCAAAGATAGAGATGCCAGGGGAGTCCCTCAATGGGAAGCCCCATGTCTGCCACTAAGTGGTAATTCTGGGCTTCGCATGTAGAGGAGCTGCTGATGGCCTTTACCTACTGTTCTGAACGTTGGGGTACTGCCCCCTTCCCTTCAGCCTCCAAGAGAAATGAAGCCAAGCCCAGAATACTTCACTTGCTCCTTTTTATCTGCAGCATCACCCAGGACAGGGGCAGTGAGGATCGAAGCAAGGGCTTCTCTTGCCTCACATCCCCTATGCCCCCCAGCCCCCTGTATGCATCAGTAAAGGCCAGGGGCCCTGGAAGGCTCAGCGTCTTCATGAGGCATGTCTCAGCCTTGGGTTTGGCACAGACTCTGGCCTTGAACTTGCCTTTGGCCTTGATCTTCCTGTGGGTGCCAGGAGGAGTTCCAACTTCAAGGGGCAGATGACACAAGGCACTTTCAGGATAGGGACCACGAAGGTGCTGGGAAGCAATAGCCTCAGTGTGAAAGGAGGAGAGAGGGGAAAGAGAAGTTCAGGAAATCTGTCCAGGAAGAAGCTTCTGAGGGGAACAAGTACTTTCCATGGGGCTACAGCCAGCCTGGGGACAGCCCTCTGCCCATGCCCTCCAGTCCTGACCCTGGCACTCAGCACTGCCCTCCAAAATGTGAGTCACAGTTCAAGACCCACCTTTCTTGGTTTCAGGATGTTGGTTGCCAACTTGAGCTCAGGGTTATTTGGAAGGGAAATCAAAACTTTGGCAGTAGGTAGAGTCATCGAGGCCTTGGCTGTGGTCGACAGGGCCTTAGAGCCCACCAGCTTGCTGTGCTGCAGTCTAAGGACCTGCCCCTGGGGTCGGAGTGTGTGGGGAGGAGGCAGCTGAGCCTTGGTGTGGAGGCCTGGGAAGTGGTAAGAGGCTGTGGGAGAAGATGGGCTGTGAGGGCCTGGGGAAAGCCCAAGGCTGGCCAGCTGCCCCTCAAGGTGTGCATGGAGGGAGGGGATGCAGGGGAGATGAGGGCTGGGGTGTGTGAGGGCAGATGGAGCCTTCCCAGTTCCTCCTCCAGAGCCAAGGGAAGAAAACAGGGTTTGGAGTCCAACAGACCTGGGTCTGCACCCTAGCTCTGCCACTTCGGAGCTGTGCAACCTCAGACAACTTCCTTAAACTTCCTGATACCTTGGCTGGAAAATGGGGATAATAGCGCCTACCTCGCTAGGTTGTAAGGACTAAGGAACTGGTTAGGTAGCAGCACAGTATAAACTGTTAAGCGCTGTATATATGTTAGTTCCTTTCCCCCAGAGGCGACATTGCATGGAGGCAAACGCAGGAAAAGCTTGGACTCTGGAGAAAGATCGACCTGGTACTGAGTCCTGGTATCTTTAAAATAAGTACAGCTGCCTCACAGGGTGACTGCTTTGGAGGGGACAACACTTATCTGGTTGTGTATTTTTTAAAAATGCTTTATAAGCAGTGGCTTTTACTTGCCACTAGTGGCTCTTTGGTGGGGCTCTGGTGGGGGGGCAAATGTGGGTGGCTAGGAGGGGCTTGGAGAGCAAGAAGAAATTGCCTGGGGACCCTGGGGTGTTTTGGGGGAATGGTCTTACCCAGGGCCTGGGGTAAGTTCTTCGGACTCAGTGGCAATCTGTTCAAGGGGTGGGGCTGCCTGTCCCCACTAGCAAAGGTCATGGTAAGAATGCAGCCCATCCTGTTGCTGGGGGGGTCCCACTGCCGGAAACTAGAGTGGACCAGGGCTGTGGCACTTTTTGCCTTGCCTTTCTCCCCCTTCCCAGGGGCTGAGGTGGTGGCAGCAGAGTCTGGCTTCTCATTGTGCCCCAGGCTCCTGGCCCCAGGAACTCTCCTAGGAGCTGACCTGTGGGCAAATGTCCCCAAGTCCTTGCCTTCCCTAGAGCCTCGCTGGATCAGGAGGTGAGGGAGTGTTGGGCAGGCCCCCATCCGCTGGTGACACATTGCCATGGGCTTCTTGATGGTGGAGCCCTCTACCTGGAGCCGGATACCCACATACTGGGGCACCTCCACGGCAGGCTGCGGGAAAGAAAGACAAGGCCTGCTCAGACAGTGGTGCTGGACTCCTAAAGGCGATGGCATTAATTTCTGGGTCAACTGGTCAGGAGACAATTCTGGGCTAAGAAACAGGAAGCCCACCTCTGTCCTCTAAGCAGTCTGGCTCTGGAGGCCTGAATCAGTACCTAGAGAGTCACAGAGCTAGTCCGGAGCTAGTCTGAGGTGTTTTCTGTGTCATCAAAGGATCCTGATTAGAATCTACCCAAACATCAGAGTCACTTGTAGCTGGTTAAAAATACAAATTATCAGTGCTCCTGGAAAGCCCAGTTGATGAGGGAAAGCTTACCCTTGAGGAAGAATCTCAGCTAATAAATATAGAAGGATGACAGAATTAATAATTTACCATTTTACAATGCTAATAAAAGGGGTAAGAATCAAAACTGGGTATCAAAACAAGTAGGGGAAGGAATGACAGGAAAATGTGTTATTTGTACAGAGTCCAAGTATCACCTTATGAAGTACCTTTGCAAAGGGGAGGATGCAGCTAACAATGGAGGTCTCGTAGCCACCACCTTAATTTCATATAGCCAGACTCAGCATCACTGGTCATGAGAAACTCTGACAGTCTGTGCCTTGTGATGCCATACAAAGCACCCAGCTTAACCTCTCAGCTGTTCTTGCCAAAAATGTGTAACCTGAACCTCATCAAGCTGACCCAACTTCTAGTTTACAGGACATTCAGATAACAGAAGAGTAAGTTAAACACCACCATGAGGGAACAACCAGATAAATCCAGAATGTGGGACAGTTCTACAAAACAACCAATCTGGTCCCTTCAGAAGATCCAAACTATGGGGAAAAAAGTGGTGGGGCTGTCCTAGATTTAAAGAGATTGAAGAACATCAAAAAGAATGAAATACCTAGGAATAAATTTAACTAAGAGGTGAAAGATATGTACACTGAAAACTGTAAGACGTGAAAGAAACTGAACATGACACAAATTAATGGAAAGATAGTCTGTGCTCACGGATTACAAAAATTAGTATTATTAAAATGTTCATACTACATAGAGCAATCTATAGCCTCAGTGCAATCCCTATCAGTTTTCCAATGGCATTTTTCACAGAAATCCAAAAAGCAACTGAAAAATTTGTATGGAACCACAAAAGATTCCCATCAGCCAAAGCAATCTTAAGAAAGAACAAAGCTGGAGGCTTCCCACTCCCACATTTCAAACTATATTACAAAGCTAAGTAATCAAAACACTATGGTATTGGCATGAAAGCAGACATGTAGATCAATGGAAAAGAATAGAGAGCCCAGGAATAACTCCATGCATATATGGTCAATTAATTTACAGAGAAGCCAAGAATATATAACACAGAAAGGATGTTTTATTCAATAAACGGTGTGGGAAAACTGCACAGCCACATGCAAAAGAATGAAACTTGGACCACGATTTTACACCACACACAAAAATCAACTCAAAATGGATTAAAGACTTGAGTGTAAGACCTGGAACCACAGAACTCCTGGACGAAGACAGGCAGTAAGCTTTCTGGCATCAGTTTTGGCAATGATTTTTTGGACTTGACACTAAAAGCAAAAGTCAACTAAAACAAACATGAACAAACAAGTGGGACTACAGCAAACCAGAAAGTTCCTGCATTGCAAAAAACTACCAACAAAATGAAAAGGCAACCTATAGAATGGGAAAATTTATTTGCAAATCATATATCTGATAAGATGTTAATATAAAAATATATAAGGAACTCATACAACTCAATAGCAAAAAAAAAAACTAAATTAAAAAAAGCAGAGGATCTGAATAGGTATTTTTCCAAAGATGACATACAGATGGCCAACAGGTATCTGAAAAGGTGCTCAATGTCACTAACCACCAGGGAAATGCAAATCAAAACCACAAAGAGAGATCACCTTGCACCAGTGGCTAATATCAAAAAGACAAGAAATAATGTGTTGGCGAGGATGTGGAGAAAAGGGAACCCTCGTGCACTATTAGTAGGAATGTAAACTGATGTGGCCACTATGGAAAACAGTACAGAGGCTCCATATGATCCAGCAATTCCACTTCTGGGTATTTACCTGAAGAAAATGAAAACACTAACTCGAGAAGATAACTGCCACTGTATAACTGTATGTTCATGGTGGCATTATTTATAATAGCCAAGATATGGAAACAACCTAAGTGTTCATCAGTGGATGAATGGATTAAAAAATGTGTATATATGCACACTGGAATGTTATTTAGCCATAAAAAAAGGAAATCTTGCCATTTATGACAACATGACAGCCTAGAGTGTAGTGTGCTAAGTATAATAAATCAAAGACAAATACATTATGTCAATTACATGTGGAATCCAAAGCAAAAAACAAACTAACAAATTCGGAACTCACTGATAACAGAGAACAGAATGGTGGTTGCCAAAGGCAGGGGGTGGACAAAATGGGTGAAGGTGGTTAAAAGGTACAAACTCCCAATTATAAAATAAATAAGTCCTGGGGATGTAATGTATAGCATGGCCATTGTAGCTAATACTGTACTGTATACACTGTATACTTGAAAGTGGCTAAGAAAGTAAATCTTAAGTTTTCATCTCAAGAAAGAATAATCTTAACTATGTGTGGTCATAGATGTTATCTAGACTTATTGTGGTGATCATTTTGCATTATGTATAAATGTCAAATCATTATGCTGTATACCTGAAATTAATATGTTATATGTCAATTATACCTCAAAAAAAACCCACAAAACTTCGAGAGATCTAAGACATGCCTGGTAGGCCCTTTAAAGCAGCTACAGATCTTTTAAGCATCCCAAGGGCATACCTGTAGGTCTTATGTTTTGATCTTTAATACATTTTGCCTTAGCGGAAAGGGTTATTGGCCCTCTCTGTTAACAGCAGGGCTTCTACAGTTTTGAGGGCTGTTGTCCTAGAAGAGTCTCACCAAGGAGAGAACAGCTTATCTCTAAGATTTATAGACATGGCTTTTGTGTAACAGAATAGATTTGAAAATGATATGTAAGAAACAACATTTTTAAAAATAACTTGGACTGAAAGGGCCAGATACAATATGAAATGAAAGAAGTTTTTGTACTCTCAAACTTCTATGAGCAGGTGACAGACTGATAACTATTAGTAATGGTCATGGACAAGGAAGGATGAGTCAGGGCTGAACTGAGATCCCAGTGGATGGAAGCAAAAGCCATGAACTCTAGGAAGCAAAAAGGGGTCCTAATAGCAACACTAGAAGTATGTTCCAGGCTGGATTTCAGAACCGCTATGGACTAATGCCTCTCCTGTACTCTCCACTCTGCCTCTCCTTTTTGAGGGAGAATGTCTATGAAAAGACAGAGATTAAAACCAAACGACCAACGCAAAATGTGAATCTTGATTACATGTTGGTTTAAAACCAAAACCAAAAAAGTCAACTATAAAAGATTGGGGGACATTTGAAAAATGCAGATTCCTAGTCTTTAAGCCAGACATTTTCACATCAATCTCTGAGAGTGGGCTTCCTGCACCAGTATCACTGGAAAACGTTCCAGGTGATTCTGGCCTAGGAAGCAGTCTTTTGGGAACCATTGTGCTAGAATGTTCCCTTTCTCTATGGCTTTGTCTTATTTTCCTGCCTTTATATCTCCTCATTATATCTTGGGAAATCAAAATATGATCAGTAACTGTGACAAAGACCAGGACACTTTGCTCAGGTGACCAGCACATTCTCTCCCTGGGGCCAGGGGGAAGCCAAATTCTAATCAGGAATAGGATAATTAGTTTAACTGCCACAAAAAATTACTTGCAGAGCTCAAAAACCCTTTAAGTTGGTTTTCTGACTGATTTTTTAAATCTTACCCTATCCTGATAAGTGGACTCAAATCTCTCTTTGAAACAAGGTAAGTAAAATAAACTACCAAATGAGGACAACAATAATAGTAAGAGTGGCCTTCCACTAATTGACTCTTACTCTATTTCCAGGCACTTTACAGGTAATACCTTTTATCATGAAACATCTAACAACCTTATTTGGTAACAATAGCTAAAGCCTGTGTAGCATTTGCTATATGCCAAGCACTATTATTAAGTGCTTTACCTATCAACTCATCCAGTACTCACAACCTTATGATGTCGGTACTATTTTAGTTCCTGCTTTACAGATGAAGAAATTGAGACCGTCAAGGTTAGGAAGCTGTCCAAAGTCACAGAGCTCATAGTTCTTGAGCAGGGATTTGAACCCAGGGAGGTTCCAGAGTCTATCCTTTTAAGACTATGCTATACCTCTCCAGAAATACTTTTCACCCATACTAACTCATTTTATCCTCCCAAACCCCAAGAGAAAGATGGTGATAGCATCTCCATTTTGCAGATGGGGAAACGAAATGGAGGCTCAAAGATGTGAAGGCTGGACTAAGTCACTGTGGCAGGACCTGGACTCCAGCTGGTTCTATCTGCCTGCAGTGCCCTTTGCCTCACTATGGGGATGCCTAGAAGGGGGACAGACTCCCTGGGGTTGTGCCTGGCCTGGCCACCTCACCTGCTTGTAGATGAGCTCAAAGGCTCCTGTGTCACAGCTGCGGTCCAGCCTCCGGTCAATGACCACACGCAGGGTGTCAGCTTGCACACCAGCACAGAGCCGGGCAGTAACAGCCGTGGAGGGTGCCATGGTGGGGCTGGCATTGATCTCAATCAGCCAGGGCTGGAAATCCTCACCAAACACAAAGTCAGCACCATAGAGCTCAAAGCTGGCCTTCCGACATTGTACAGTGTCTTGGGAGGTCTGCAGGGCATGGATCACGGCAGCTTTCATGCCAGGCACAATGACGGTGGACCAAGCGTTTGGGGCCCCCATCTCCTGCAGGTGGGCCTGGAATTTCTGACTTGACCACATGTTGTTGGAGGGCAGCAACGGGTGCCGATGACATGAATTCTCCAGGTGCTTCTGGATGGAGTTGTTGCACAGGTGCACCGAGCTGGAGCAGAGATCAGAAAGCAGAGGTCTGGTCCCCTCTGCCCTCCCACCCAAACTTGGGCGAAGGGTAGGCAAACCCTGGAACCAGCCCTGGGCCACCCTGGAGCATTCAACCTGAGATGAGTCCTCTGGGGAAGACAAGAAGGACAAAGCCTAGGCCCTGTCATAGTCTTCTAGGGCCAGAACCATCATCTCTTGGGACCTCTCTGAGGGCGCTAACTATGGGGGCCACAGGACTAAGTGAATTAGTGTCAGTTAATCCTGTAAGTGTCTGGAAGATAAGAAGCTGGGTAAGAGTATGGGCCCTGTTATTACCCAGACATATATGTTTTCAGGTCCTACACCTTCACCACTACCTGGTTGTGAGATCTTTGGCAAGTCATTTAACCTGAGTTCAAAGATGTGAAGGCTGGACTAAGTCACTGTGGCAGGACCTGGACTCCAGCTGGTTCTATCTGCCTGCAGTGCCCTTTGCCTCACTATGGGGATGCCTAGAAGGGGGACAGACTCCCTGGGGTTGTGCCTGGCCTGGCCACCTCACCTGCTTGTAGATGAGCTCAAAGGCTCCTGTGTCACAGCTGCGGTCCAGCCTCCGGTCAATGACCACACGCAGGGTGTCAGCTTGCACACCAGCACAGAGCCGGGCAGTAACAGCCGTGGAGGGTGCCATGGTGGGGCTGGCATTGATCTCAATCAGCCAGGGCTGGAAATCCTCACCAAACACAAAGTCAGCACCATAGAGCTCAAAGCTGGCCTTCCGACATTGTACAGTGTCTTGGGAGGTCTGCAGGGCATGGATCACGGCAGCTTTCATGCCAGGCACAATGACGGTGGACCAAGCGTTTGGGGCCCCCATCTCCTGCAGGTGGGCCTGGAATTTCTGACTTGACCACATGTTGTTGGAGGGCAGCAACGGGTGCCGATGACATGAATTCTCCAGGTGCTTCTGGATGGAGTTGTTGCACAGGTGCACCGAGCTGGAGCAGAGATCAGAAAGCAGAGGTCTGGTCCCCTCTGCCCTCCCACCCAAACTTGGGCGAAGGGTAGGCAAACCCTGGAACCAGCCCTGGGCCACCCTGGAGCATTCAACCTGAGATGAGTCCTCTGGGGAAGACAAGAAGGACAAAGCCTAGGCCCTGTCATAGTCTTCTAGGGCCAGAACCATCATCTCTTGGGACCTCTCTGAGGGCGCTAACTATGGGGGCCACAGGACTAAGTGAATTAGTGTCAGTTAATCCTGTAAGTGTCTGGAAGATAAGAAGCTGGGTAAGAGTATGGGCCCTGTTATTACCCAGACATATATGTTTTCAGGTCCTACACCTTCACCACTACCTGGTTGTGAGATCTTTGGCAAGTCATTTAACCTGAGTGCTCTTTTCATATCTGGGAAATGAGGGTAGGCACAGTACCCACTTCACTGAGTTTTCATGAATAATTGATGTAATATGTGTGACGTGCTTAGCACCTGTCATATATGAAGCACACACAAACTGACAGCTATAATTATGAGTTTCATATTACTGCCTCCATTCTTCAGATGTGGAAACTAAAGCTTAGGCAGGTTTCACTTGATGAAAGTCACAGAGCTTGGAAGCTGGAGAGATGGAATTGGGCTCAACACAGCTTCCTTTCACCCTGAGTTAATACTGCAACTTGCCTCCTTCTTCTCGCATGTTTCCTGACGCCCTTTACCCTGCTCAACATAACATTTTTTCTTCATAACACACATAACCTTTTAACCTGTTTGATAGTTTTACTTATGTTCATTGCTGTTTTTCCCTGGATTGTGAACTCTTGAAAGCTGGGCTCTTGTTTTGTTCAAGACTGTATCCTAAGTGCTCAGAGCCATGAATGGCACAGAGAAGGTAGGTACCTGCTGGATGGAAGGATGGTTGGATAGAGGGAGGCCTGCCTGCCTGCAGAGTCTGTGTTTGGAGCTCAGCATTGTCCTGGAGCCACCTGATCCTTGCTAGCTCAAGTAGACTGGGAACTCATGCGAGATGAGTAATGGGGCTTACTTGTCCAGGTTTTTCAGAGAGAAGGGCTGAGTGGAGAAACGGATATAGCTGTCACGGTAGAACCACACGGTAAGTGGGTTCCAGTCAGTCACCAAGAACCACTGTCTCAGGTCAAACTTGGTGCCAAAGATGAGCAGGGGCTGTTCAATATACTTTTGCACCACCCACTTGCTGTCCTTCATCATCATGAGGTTGCCATCCACCAGCTTCAGCATCTCTTCCAGGTGGTCCATGCACATGATGCCTAAGGGGAAATGGGGTGGTCAGGGATCAGGGCAGGTTTGGGTTAGGAGAAGGGCCAAGGGATCATGAACAGCTTGAGAAGCTATTATCCCTCAAGAACTGAATGCCAAGTAGGTAAGGCCGCCTCCCTCAGTCATAACCCTGTTCCCTGTGGGAATGCTGAAAGTCTGCTACAAATTTTA